TGACCTGCTCTCGTGGGTGCGCCTCTGCGTCCCCGGGTCCTTGGATGCCGCCAGCAGCTGGTGGTGCTTGTGCAAACGGACCAGTGGGCAAACTACGGCCCGTTTGAAATGAATAAAACTAAACAAAAAAGACCGCACCCTTTTATGTAATGATGTTTACTTTGAATTTATATGAGTTCACACAAACACTCCATCCATGCTTTTGTTCCGGCCTCCGGTCCAGTTTAAGAACCCACTGTGGCCCTCGAGTCAAAAAGTTTGCCCACCCCTGGACCAGACGGTCTGCCGCCCAGAGGCACTGGGCCAGCGGGCGCCAGGGGAGGCCGAGCTCCCGGCTGTAGTGGCGCCGCCGCCGAACTGCCCGATGCACAGGGTCTCCCACCCAAGGGCAGACTGAACGGGCAGAGCGGTGGGCACTGGCGCCGCCCCGTGCCCTGTCCCAGTCTGTAGCGCTCACTTTGATCCTGGCAAAGCCTTGCCCCACCCCACCCAGGGCTGGGGTCGGAGGGAGCAGGGGAGCAGGCAGGTGCTCCAAGTTCCAGCCCAGGGCCCCAACCCCACAGGCCGGAGGATCGAGGGGCCCTGGGGACTACGGAGGCCCCTCCATTCACCTCGGAGCAGGTCCCACCTGTAGGCTCTGCACCCCTACTGCTCCTCCCGGTGGGGCAGGCGGCCACACCCACAGCCCCTGCCCCCGACATCTGTCAACCTCAGGGGCAAGGCCCACAGAGCACCTGGGACAGCTCTCAGCGCGTCTCCCATCTCAGGAGGACCCAGCCCACCTCCCTCAGTCTTAGAACCAAATAAAGTCACTCAACCCAACTTTTTAAAGAAGTCTGTTTATTGAAAGGATCTGAAAATAGTAATAAGGCTCTCAACATTTAATAAATTTTCAGGATATTAACAATATGAAACATTAAGAATTTACTTCAAAAACCCATAGCTTTCTAGACCATCCCAACATCATCTGCTTCAGGGCGGGCGGGGCTTGGGTTCTGCTCCCTCAGCCCGCAGGCCAGCCCCCAGGTGGGTGGGCAGGTGGCAGGGAGCCCACCTGTGTCCAACACCAGGCCGAGTGCCAAGCACCACTGAGGTCCAGGTGCTGAGGTGCCCCAGCAGGGACAAGAGTGGGCACAGCACTCCATCCACACATGCCCACACAGGCACGGAGGCCTGGCTGAGGGTGGCCACGCATGTGGCTCTGGACACCTCATTAGCACAAGACTGGGACATGCGTCCCTGCAGGGGGAAGACCCTGCCCGCCATCGCCCAACATGAGGCCCAGGGCGGTGCTGAGCCCTTCCTTCTCCCTGTGCAGCTGATGGAAACCCACAGAGAAATCCGTTCGTTACTCAAAGGCCCCACTGAGCCTGTCTGCAGGGCAGGGGGCCAAGGCCACATGCACACTGAGCCTCAGCTCCAACCATGGACTCCACACAGGCTCTGTCCCGCATGGCAAATGTGCACCTGCTTGCACACGCCCCAGCCAGCGGGCCGAGGGAGGGCGATGCTGGAATGATGGGGTGTCCTTGAACCCCAGGGCCCGCAGGAAGCATCAGCACTCCCTTCCGCGTACACACGCTTGTCCCAATCTTCCCGTGACAACTGGGGAGACCCAAGGCTCCTAAATGAGTCACCGCACGGCGGCCATGGCGGACTAGACAGAGGTCCCACCCCCGTCACAGAGCACACAGGATGAGGCTCCGCGTCAGGGCAGGGCGCCCTCCTCCGGGTCCTCCCTGCGCACCAGCACGAGAACCTGAGACTGCCCGCTGGGCGGGCCGACTCACTCCTGAGGAATGTGTGGGCCGACCTGACCTCACCTGGCCCAGGCTCCCGGGTGACACTCACTCTGTGGCCCTGTCACACCAAAGCTGGGGTAGGAGGCGGGGCCCATCCGCCCACCAGCCTGTGACAAGCTCCCAAATGCTCCTCACAGGTGCTCCCCTGGGGGCTCGGGGAGGTGCGGACAGGGGAGCCTGTGGCCAAAGGAAGACTCGGCTGTGAGACACTTATTTCAACTCCAAGGACAGGTCCCTCCACTCTGCTCCCTCTCAGTGTGACAGGCTGACCCGTGGTTTCCTAACAGAGAACACGAGAGCCCGTGCAGCTCGTGGGATGGGCCTGACTGTCGCTTACGTGGCTTATATAGAAATGCAAAAAAGGTCAGATTTAAAATGCTAAAAACGGCTGATCCGGCGGACAAAGGCAGAGTCTGGGCTCCTTCTCTGGCTACAGACAGAAGACGTGGCACCTGATGCCTGCAGGGCACGTGACCGGACCACACGTGCAGCGCAGCGGGGAGGCTAGCTCTCCTCCTCCCCCTCCTCATCCGTGAAGTGAGCCTGCCGCTTGCGCACGTTCCAGTGCAGACACTGGGCCAGGCTCTCGAACCAGTCGCTCACCGGGTCGCGCACGCAGATGGAGGGGAGCGGGTAGCACGAGGTGGTGATGCTGATGCTGGGGACGCAAGGCCGCACGTGAGCCCAGCACCTGCCGCCCCGCCCAGCAGGACCCTCCCGCAGGCAGGGCCCATCCTCATCAGTGAGGAGCCTTTTCAGACCTGGCTCTCCAGCCTGGCCAAGGGTCCCAGGGGTACTGTTATATGTCCTGGGACAGAGCCATGAACCCACTCAGCCCACCCCCGTCCCTGGAGGGGACCCCAAGGCGGGCAGGATGAAGAGACAGAGCAGACAGTGCAGCCACGAGCAGCTCCATCTCTCCCCACCAGGGCGAGCAGACCACAGGGCCACACAGCAACCTGCGTGTGTGACAGGCTCCGACAGGCATGGGTCCCCATGTGACCATGTGAGACAAGGACCCCGTGGCAGGGGGAAGAGGGCAGCAGGCGGGCACACCCCTCATTCCTCACCCGGCTCCGGCCCAGCGCCCACCCACCTGTCTCCATGGCGGATCTCCTGCCTCTTCCGTCCGTCGAAGGACACCCACACGGTGTTCCTTGCTTCCGGTGACAACATGATCTGCGGGGATCAAGCAGGCAGATGTGACATCTCAAACCCCTGCCTGGGAGGGCGGCACCAACCGGGGGCCTTGGAGGTGCCCACAGCACCCGCCAGAGGCCAAGGCCAGTTCTGGGCGGAGAAGACGTCCACCCTCCGCTGGAACCCAGGGCCAGGCCCTGCTCCAGCTCACTGACTCCACACAGAGCAGCCCCCACTCCATGGGGACAGAGCACCCCGAGGGGCTGCCCAGCTCCCAGCGCAGCCCTGGCCTCTCCATACCCCCCACCCCCCGGCAGTGCGAGCCCAATGGGCAGAGATGAGGACGGGACGGGGGCCCCTGCGGGGGAACCGAGGCCGAGGCCACTGGCAGAAGCAGAGGTCAGCACCACGAGCCCCTGGCGACAGCTCGGCCTGGAAAGGGTGGCGAGGGCTCTAACCTTGAGCTCGACTCCTGCAGGGACCACGATGGGCCGGAATGACAGGGAGTGGGGACAGATGGGAGTGATCATGATGGCCGGCACGTTGGGGTGGATCATGGAGGCCCCGGCCGCCACTGCGTACGCCGTGCTGCCCGTTGGGGTGGAGACGATCACGCCTGAGGAGCAGTTGCAGGCTCACTCTCCATGCGCCCACTGCCCACGTTGAGCCCCAACGTGCCCACGACAGACCCGATGCCCACGTAGGCTCACTCTCCATGCGCCCACCGCCCACGTCGAGCCCCAAGGCGCCCACGACAGACCCGATGCCCACGTAGGCTCACTCTCCATGCGCCCACAGCCGTCGAGCCCCAAGGCGCCCATGACAGACCCTATGGCCACATAGGCTCACTCTCCATGCGCCCACAGCCATCGAGCCCCAAGGCGCCCACGACAGACCTGATGCCCATGTAGGCTTACTCTCCATGCGCCCACCGCCCGCGTGGAGTCCCAGGGCACCCACGACAGACCCGATGCCCACGTACCATCACCCTGCACCGTGGTGATGAGGTGCCCGTCCAGGTAGACGTCCACGTTGGACAGGTAGGAGGAGGGGCCTCTGTCAATCACCACTTCGTTTAAGACCTGGGTGAGGAGCAGTTGCAGGCTCACTCTCCATGCGCCCACTGCCCACGTTGAGCCCCAACGTGCCCACGACAGACCCGATGCCCACGTAGGCTCACTCTCCATGCGCCCACAGCCGTAGAGCCCCAAGGCGCCCATGACAGACCCGATGCCCACGTAGGCTCACTCTCCATGCGCCCACAGCCGTCGAGCCCCAAGGCGCCCATGACAGACCCTATGGCCACATAGGCTCACTCTCCATGCGCCCACAGCCATCGAGCCCCAAGGCGCCCACGACAGACCTGATGCCCATGTAGGCTTACTCTCCATGCGCCCACCGCCCGCGTGGAGTCCCAGGGCACCCACGACAGACCCGATGCCCACGTACCATCACCCTGCACCGTGGTGATGAGGTGCCCGTCCAGGTAGACGTCCACGTTGGACAGGTAGGAGGAGGGGCCTCTGTCAATCACCACTTCGTTTAAGACCTGGGGGAGGGGAGGCCAGCGCACACTGAGGGGCGGAGCAGCCTCCAGGTGGGTCTGTGCCGCAGGCACCTGTGCTGCTCCTGGGCTGTCTGGAAGGTCCTGAGGGGGGACTCCCCCTGGGTCCAAACAAAGTCCCCCACCTTCCCCTCCCGAGGCCAGGAGACAGCTGAGGACTGGCTGAGGGACGTGTCCACTGACCTGGTGCTGCATGACCTGCTTCCCGGCCTCCGTGTCCCAGTCCGAGGCCAGCACCCCATTCTCAGTGACCCCGTTAGGGATGGCCATCTTCTTCCCTCTGAGCTCCTTCACGACCTTGACCTTCAGCCGGCTCCGGAGAATAATGGCTGCGTTCCCTAGGGACCCGGGTGATCACACCCCATAGCAAGCAGAGCCCCCCTCGACCAGGGACCCCCCTTTCTCCTCCCAAAGCGAGAGCAACACTTCTGTCTTTTGTGAAAACCCCTCCACTGCCACTCGGCACACAGTGTCCTCGACCTGGGACCTGCTCACACTTCTCGATGTTAGGAAACACGTCTGAGCCAACCAAGTGTAGAAATCGCTGAACCTTGGGGGGAGGGAGGGGTAGGAAGGGGAAGGTGTCGGGTACCTGCTGATGGGAAGAGACCTGAGCGGGTGGTGAGCACCCAGTACAGTGCAAGGTGGCGTGCTGGGACTGTACACCGGAAACCTGTAGTTCTGTTAACCAGTATCACCCCAATAAACTCAATAGGGGGAGGGGGTCTCTGAAACCTGAAATACTACATGTTTCCCTGAACTCTTTAAAAAACCCAAAACCAAGGGAGAAGATGAGGCTGGGCTCAGAGCTGCTGTGGGTTCCAGAACATTCCGACTCACCCTGTATCACCTGAGCCACTTGGGTCTGAAAGTTCTCAAAGTTGAAGGGCGTCAGGAAGCCCAGCGAGCCCAGGTGGAACGCCATGACGGGAGGCACGCTGCCCTGAGGTCGACGGAGCAGTCACCAGCTGACCAGTTGTCCTGGTCGCCGTGTGGCTGACCACATGCTCCCCAGGGCCAGTGCCTGCAGGGGCGGCGCCAGGCCGTGTGATGTGACCACTGAGGTCAGCAAGGCCAGGAGGGCCCTCTCCACGGCCTCCAGGCCTGACCTCTGACCCCTGGCTGGGCCATGCAGGAGTGAGGTGGGCTCAGGGCTCAGGACAGCCCACTGGGCTCCTGTGCAGACTCTCCCCTCTGGGGCCACCCAGGGACCCGAACCCCAGGCCCTGGAGGGGCCCCCCCACGGCCCCTCCCCCAGCTCCAGCACCACAGAGAGGCGCTGGCTGTCTGCACCCGCATCCGGCAGACCGAGAGCCCTGACGCTCCCTGCGCAGTCCTGCAGCGGGAGGGCGGGAGTGGCACGAGGCCGCACGGACTCACCTGGAAGAGCGAGGAGGCATAGAGCAGGGTCCCGTCCCCGCCAAGGCAGATGATGAAATCGATCTGGTTGGAAATGTCGTCATAGTCTAGAAGGCAGGCGAGAGGCGCGTCAGCCGCGAGCAGGGAGCATGACTCTGCTCCCGCAGGCACAGCGCAGGCGCTCACCTTCTCGGAAGGTGCAGAACTTCTTCTTCACGGGCCCGAAGCTGTCGTCACCGACGAATGAAATCGATCTGGTTGGAAATGTCGTCATAGTCTTCTCGGAAGGTGCAGAACTTCTTCTTCACGGGCCCGAAGCTGTCGTCACCGACGATAGCAGGATCTTCTAGAACCTTCTTCTCCACATACACGATCATGTTGTTCTCCTGGGGGCAGAGGGTGCGTCAGCCCCAGAGGCCCAGCCGGTCATCTCAGCGCTTTACGACCAGGGAGACCAATTCCCGCGTCTCGGCTGCGAATCGCCCTCACTGCCCAGATGGCCACTGTGAAGCGAGCCTCCTGCCTTCTCCACCCTGGCTCAGACCCCGGGGCCTGTGCCCCCGACACCCAGGGGTTCCTGCTGGCTCAGACCCCAGGGCCCGTGCCCCCGACACCCGGGGGTTCCTGCTGGCTCAGACCCCGGGGCCGGTGCCCCCGACACCCAGGGGGGTCCTGCTGGCTCAGACCCCGGGGCCTGTGCCCCCAACACCCGGGGGGGTCCTGCTGGCGGGACGAGGGGTCTAGGCCGCTGCACACCTCCATCAGGTACACGCAGAGCTCCTTGAAGGGCTGTAGCAGGCTGGCGTCCCGGATCTTCTTGATGACGAGGACGCTTTTCGGGGACTTGTTCCACGTCAACCGCTGGCTGGCAGGGTCCTGGATGTGCCTGAGGGAGAGGAGCTCTCGCTGCGGCAGGTGCACCGCAGGTGTCAACAGCCCTAGGGCAGGGCCAGCCAAGTCCCCAGGGGCCGCTGGCTGGGAAGCTGTGTCTCCCAGGCACTTGCTGCCTGAAGCGCCCACTGTGCGCCTTTCTGGTCCCTGATCTCCCCGCTGATCTGAGCTTTCAGTCCCGACAGCACCTGACAGCACCCAGGGTGACAACCCTGCAGACCCGGTCCCAGACGGACCAGCGGGGCCCTCTGCGGGATGCCCTTCGCCCTCGCCCGACCCCTCCCTCCATGGGGGGCAGGACACCAGGCCTCCCACAGACACCCCACCCACCCGCGGCAGACTCTGCCCGGAGGCCA